GCTTTCACACTTAAATCTTAATCATTTAAGCCCTGAGGGATGCATGTTGGCCTACATTCCACAACTGACATAACTACATAATAGGTCTAATAGGTCTTCTGACTAGTAGCTAATAATAAGCCCAGCGTTTACTGGGTTAAAAGGTTAAGAGACCAGTGAACAGCAAAGCATTCCAGGTAATTTTTGGGACTGTGGAGTCCAAACTTGCCATTACATTGCAGCATAAGTGTCAGGCCTATAGCCATTATCTGTGAATCACAAAGCAACCACAATGCTAACATGACTCGCAACTAGCATCTGAACGTACAACGATTACATAACCATTACAACTGTATAGTGGTTTCATGTCTGCTGTATTCATCAGTTTAATGACCAGGAGGATTTTACTAACTGCATGCCTAAGCACCCCCCGCGACCCAGGAGATTCTCTTCTGTCCATCTTAGTGGATCACATCAGAGACCGCATGCTTGCGCTCGCTCCTACCTGCCCGCTACACCTTCGGGCTCCTCCAGCATGCCTGCCTGTCACCCTCCCTCAAAATTAGCTAAGCATGTGTTGAATGTAGTTGATTAGCCAAGACATGTTTGGAGGCTGAAGTTTGTTTCTTTACTTGCTAACTGGAGCTACAAGGCTAATGTAGCTAAGTAATGGAAGCTGATATCTCACCAGCTAGCATTGTGCTAACTGCATGCCTAAATCATCACATACTTTCCTCATACCATGGTAAGATGTTAAATTACAGAGGTGGGAACAATTGACTAAGTTGCAAGTATCAAGTAAGTCTCAAGTCTTGACATTCAAGTTCCAAGTCAAGATAGTCAAGTCTTGATTCAAGTCCTGAGTCAGTAAAGGCAAGTCTCAAGTTGAGTCCTAAACAAGTCAGTATGCATTCATTAGCTAATTTAGGACCGTTTCAACATGAATAATGGTAACAGTACTATAGCCTTTTAATGACAGCACGTTAGTAGTGTATGGCTGTATATTATTTTTTGTTATTATTCTTTTTCTCTTCCATCTAAAATACTAAATCCATGGAACACAAACAGCCATGATAACCATAAAGGTATACACAAAGAGTAGTGCAACTACACATGAAAAGAATTTTCAAAGTACTATTGAAGTTAATTAAAGATCATTTTTGATGATTGAACACTGGGTGTATAGGATTAAAGTAAAACTAGCTCAGCACTAAAACTAGCTCAGCCAACTAAAAACAACCACTAGTTTGAACAAACTTTACAGAACAGAAAACAGAAAGTTGACCCAGTAGTTTCTTATTCAAAGTTTACATACCACCTTAAATGATGCAGCAGTCAGATGCTGGAATGTAACTGCTGCACCATTTAAGGCGGAACAACAATTTCCAATGTAAAGCTGGTAAAAAAAGTCAGCTTCAGCCTCGTGGTAAGTGCTGTGCTTGTTTTAGCCGCAGAGGCTTTAAATTTGGTCAAATGTTTTGCTTGTTTCCAGCTTATGGAGGCAAACTTGAATTCTAAACATTTCACTGGTCTTCTGAAATAAAATAATCTGAGCATAAGCACAGTAACAGACATTTGAGGGCACTGCTGTATATTAAACTTACAGGAGGAAACAAATCCAATCACATGAAATGTAACAGCAGTCTGCAGTCGGATGCCTCTCCACGTTTCTTCCACTTTGGGTCTCAAGTTTTTCCGAGTCATGAGCCTCAGGTCTGAGTCAAATTGGTGTTTGAATCAAAGCCGAGTCACAAGTCTTTCTCGATTTTGTCCAGTCGAGTCTCAAGTCATCAAATTCATGATTCGGGTCAAACTCGAGTCCAGGTCATATGACTCGAGTCTACACCTCTCTCAAATTAACTTAAAACACATAATATGTCTTGGCTAATTGACTACATATGTGGTAACGACAAAGTTTTAATTTTTTTTTTTTTTGCATTTCTTTGTTTTTAGCTTTGCACTTTCCGTACACTTGAAGAACAAGTCTAACAAGTATCCTATGTACACAACAACACAAACACAACCACGTGGCCATGTTGCTACGTATGTTGCTAACCACAGATATGCTACATACAACGAAACCCAGTGAACAGTGACCATTTCATTCATACCAATGCCACCTGCTCACCAACGCACATTTCTACTCACTCTATTCTAATCCTAGCATATTAGCAATACCAGAAAATTGGCCAAGAGAGCTTCCAAAGTCTGCTGTCTTACAAGGAAACTAGAGCGCAAGATTCTGATGCAGGAGTTTCATGACTATTATTTTTTACTGGTTGACGAGTTAATCAAAAATTAAATGACTAATCGACTTGTTGTCATTTACATTTAAAGAATTAAAACAATGGATATCAGTGAAAAGTGTTAGTAGCACTATGCATTTTAATAGCACACTCTTAAAAAAGATGGTTCTTCAAGATGGTTCTTTCTTTAATAAAGAAAAAGGTTCTATATAGAACCATGAACACTCAAAGAACCCTTTGCATGCTTAAAGGGTTCTTTGCATGATAAAGACGTTTTTCAGATTGATGGAAAATGTACATGAATGTGCTATAGAACCTTTTTGAAAAGGGTTCTATATAGCATCCAAAAGGGTTCTTCTATTGTTACAAGCTTGACATTATAACAATAGAAGAACCATTTTGGGTGCTATTTAGAACCATTTATAAAAAGGTTCCATATAGAACCATCTACAGCACATTCTCCATGATGCAAAGAAGACTTTAATCTTCTATATATATAAATATATATATATATATATATATATATATATATATATATATATATATATATATATATATATATATATATATAGAACCATTTTCTTTACTAAAGCACCATTGAAGAAACATCTTTTTTAAGAGTGTATAGCAGTATATTTTATTTCTCATAGTTAGCCCCCTTTCACCCTGTTTTTCAATGGTCAGGACCCCCACAGGACCACCACAGAGCAGGTACTATTTGGGTGGTGGATCATTCTCAGCACTGCAGTAACACTGACGTGGTGGTGGTGTGTTAGTGTGTGTTGCGGTGGTCTGAGTGGATCAGACACAGCTGCTGGAGTTTTAAACACCTCATGGTCGCTGCTGGACTGAGAATAGTCCACCAAACAAAAATATCCAGCCAACAGCGTCTGTGGGCAGCATCCTCTGCAATAGATGAGTTATCGTCTCTGACTTTACATTTACAAGACGGACAAGCAAGGCAGGTGTGTCTAATAGACTGGACATTGAGTGGACACAGTGTTTAAAAACTCCAGCAGCACTGCTGTGTCTGTTTCACTCATACCAGCCCAACACACACTAACACACCACCACCACATCAGTGTCACTGCAGTGCTGAGAATGATTCACTACCAAAATAACACATGCTCTGGAGTGGCTCCTGTGGGGGTCCTGACCATGGAAGAACAGGCTGAATAGGGGGCTAACAAAGTATGCAGAGAAACTGATGGACTACAGTCTGTAATTACAGTCTGTTATACACAAAGTCAGTTGTTATAAAGTGCCCCAGACAGAGCCATGACACAACTCAATGTCACTTGACATCAAAGCTGACAAATGCAGACTATATGATGGATGATGTCTGCTGGAATGTAGGTTCATGTCAGTTGTTATGATGAGTTTGTGTAGGTGTCATGTAGCTATATGAACACAGTGAAGTGTTACCAAACTGGTAATAAAATGAAACCAAGACTACAAAGTATTAGGAGTGGCTCCACCCTTGGTGCAGCAATGTTTATGTTATATAACACTGTGAATTTCTGTTGTTAACCTCTTAAACCTTGTTATTACATCTTAAAGATTCCTATTCAGTAATTACATAGAAAGCAATGCAAAATGGCTGAGTCATATATAATATATAAATGTTAATTTTATTGGATGATAATCAACATTTTAGCCCCATTTTTAGCACAAAATGCTCATATTAGCTGGACTCTAGTTCAAGGGTGCCCAATCCTGGTCCTGGAGATCTACCACCCTGGACAGCTCAGATCAAAACACTTGCACTATAATTCAGGTGCTCCTGAAGGCCTTCATTACTTGGATCAGATCTGTTAGACTATAGTTGGAGCGAAACTTTACAGGGTAGTAGATCTCCAGGACCAGGATTGGGCAACCCTGCCCCAGTTCAACTGCTTTCTGGACATAACTCTTTTATACTTATTGCTGTACTTATTGTACGTATCGCGGTGCATTTGGATAATCCTTGTGAATTTCCCTCGAGAAAATTTTCCTTGCACAGATGAAAAATGTATAAATACAAGTGGTGAACCCTGGCAAGTTCCATGCCACCCAAGTTTATGATGCATCACAAGCCTACACATTCATTGGTCCATCCTGTCTACTTATAGCTAATGATAAATTTACCAGTTGCCAATGACTGCTTCAATGGAAATTGATTTACAGTAAGACGTTATACCATAAGAATCTTTGAGCACATTCATGACGTTATAACACATTAATAAGGTGCATAAATATTTATAAAAAATATTATAGCTATGTTCAGTTTGTGCCATAAATTTTTGACAAAATGCATTAGAAGTAGTGTTTATAACCCATTACATTTTCAGTGCCAAAATAAACCTGCCTTGTCATAAACACATGCTCAATCATGCTAGGACTTCTTGTAACAATTTATGAATTATACTTATATCTGAAATGGAATAATAACATGTAGGTTATTATTTTACACATTGCAAGACTTCTTTGCAAGCTTCAAGTGAAGTGACAATATATTTATTGTGCCATTAGATTATGTTATAACCCCATTACAAGCTGTACTTCTGAGGCACAAGTGAGCGCTTTTAGCCATGTTTATAATGACTTATAAATGCATTATAACACGTCATGAATGTATTTGTAGTTTCTTAAAGATACGATATTAATAGAACGTGTTTGGTAGAGGATGGTCAAACCACACTGTAATCTGACCCCTTGACAGCCATCAACAGCGCCAACTAGTGCTCATATTAGTCTGTGCAGTAGTTCTGATGTACAAAGTTTGGGGTCACTCACCTGCTTCTTTGCCCTCTGTCGCCCCCTGGTGTTCATCCAGCCTCAGGTCACTCAGCAGGTGCTCCAGGATCTTGTGCGGCGTTCCGGACACCACCACGTACCTGTCGGACACAGCAGAGGATGAGGAGTCAGACGGGTAGTCTCCTTCAGTGGAGCAGACTGAGTAGGAACTGCTGCTCCACCCCCTGCTGCTAAGCACATCATCCTCATCATCCTCATCTTCCTCCTCGTCAATGTAACGGAAGTGCGGGACGTCAAAAGTGGCCACGGCTGTGTCGTCCTTACAGCTAGAGTTAGCGCTACCGCTACTACACTCAGAGCCTTCGTCATCATCATCATCGTCATCCTCTTCCTCCTCTACCAGCGTGACGGGTTTGATGTTGAGGCGGTTCGGCCGGACGCTGCCCATTTCCGCCCGGGTCACTGCGTCATGCCCCAGGCCAGGTGTGGAGATGAACCAGGCACGTACTGCCCTACTCCAACAGCCCAGGCCCAGTCTGGGTGTTCCGAGCCGGCCACTCTCTCTCCCTCTCTCTCTCTTTCCCTCTCTCTCTGCCTGCCTGACTGCACAGCAGACACTCCCTGCACTGTCACTGCTGCTGGAGCCTGAACATACACAAGCACGGTGCTCCTGCGGCAAGCAAAAAGACTGTACTCAAGCACACAGACACATACACTCATCTAGAAAGTGCAAATTTCCTTCCTCCTCAGCTTTAGCCCTACGGCTACAATCGTCCCATGCACGCACACGCCCTCACGCAAACTCCCGGTCCGTCAGAGGCCGCTGCACTCACTGCTCCTGCAAGCTCTGCAGCCTGAGTTTGTTCAAAACGCGAAGGGGAGGGGGCAAGTGATTGGTGATTGGAAGGAGGAGGGAGGAGGAGAGCAGCGGTTTAGAGGAGGTGATTGAAGGAGGGAGGGGACAGAACGCTAAGACAGAGAGAGAGAGAGAGAGAGAGAGGGAGAGAGAGAGAGAGAGGGAGGGATGGGCAGGGTGCTCACCTCCTATCACTTTCGTCCTCTTTGACTCCACCTCCAGCTGTCTGTGGGGATGTCCGGTCAGAAGCCACTCTCTGAAGGACCAGCACATCCTGACCCCTCTCCTTCAGACACACGCGCACCGCTCCCTCACCCTGCGCCTGAGAGAGAGAGAGAAAGAGAAAAGGATGAGCCATCATATAAAGAAAGAACTACATGTTCATACCCAATGAGGGCCCATATACTGCATTCTGGATATGGAAAAAAAAGCAGTTCTGGCTGAAACACTCCTTATAACTTCAGTGTGAATGGGAAGTTGAATAGGCCGTTGTATATAAATTGCGTTTGGTTTTTGTGTCTTTGTAAAATGAAAATGGCCTAATACAATTATTTGAAACCTGAAACCTAAGAATACCGGCATTATTTTTGAATCATTTCTGCAAGAAATAGTTGAAAAAGATAAAAAATGACCGAAAAACGTAAATTTAACATCAGACGTGGGCAACTAGTTACAATTACTGGTGACGCTTTATTTTGAGTGGTCCTTTTAGATGAAACAAACACTCAACGGACGCTCAGTAACATGTCAAAAACATATGAGGGTTAGGATTAGGATTTGGGTTGAGGTTAAGGTTAGGGTTAGGATTAGGGCCAGGGTGAGGGTTAGGTGTTGGGTAAGGTTGGGTAAGGTTAGGTTTTGCGTAATGGAAGTAACATATTAACAATACATCTACTTAATGTATGTAATGTCAACAGAACATCTACAAGATATTTACGTGTATTCAGATGCTTCACTACCGCTACTTCACTGATACGCTGTAGATGTGTTACTGATAATCTGTTAAGAGTTTATTAATCATCTACAAAGGACCACTCCAAATAAAGTGCTACCCAGTTACTAAGTTGTCCAATATATCCCACATTACTCAACTATATTGAGTTATTATTGTTTTTTTGATGATTTTATGTATTTAGTGTACAACAGTAATAAATCAAGTTCAACAAGCTTTAACAAGCTGGGTTGGAAATGCTTTAGCAGATTAGGTTTAGTCAATTTATATTGTGCTGGATCAACAAAACTGCCTTATTTGTAAAGAAAGACATTGAATTATGTGGAAATCCTTTCCATAATTCAGTTAAATTCAACTAAAAAATGTTTGTTTTCTTCGAATGTGCGCAAGTAGGGTTCAGGCCACTCTACCCACTTCTGTTCAACAAACAGAAAACTCCAACACCTGCCGACCAATCCGAGATTCTGTCAACTTCAATACACATTTCTGAGGCTATAACTGAAAACAAACAATTGTGTGTGTTCCGCATGCAAATTCTCAGGCTCATTCGCATTCCCATGTAAACCACAACCACTGCAATCCTGCTCGGCTGGTAGAAGGCTGGATGTGACGTACAGGACGGTGCATGCCTCAACTTGGATGCTCTTGAACACCTTCCAGCCCCAGAGACACAGCCACACAATCATACATAGACATGCTATTCAGAGAGCAGAAGATAGAGGGCAATCTATTCAGTCCTACACAGAGAGGGGGCAGCCTGAGGGGGGCGCAATACTCCAGGGCTCAGCTTCTGCGACTACACCTGAGGGATGGTGTTGAAGCCAGGAACTACACACAGGATACTACAGGCAGTTTTAGCTTAGCTGTAAAGCCCGAATACTTGATTAATGAAGTCTTGGTCACACTTTATTTGTATGGTCCCCTATAGATGACCTACAGATACTTAAATCATTACCACACTTTCTGTTGATATTCAGTTGATTATCAACAACACTAAGGTTAGGGTAAGGTTTAGGAGTAGGCATAGGTTTAGCCTTGAGTTTAGGGTCAGGGTTAGGTTCAGGATTAGGGTTAGATTTAATAGAATCGTCCACACTCGACTTCAAGTTCACTTTTAATGGATATTTAGTTGAATGTTACTTAAAGATGTACTGAGCATCTTCGAAGCATCTACAGTAGACCATCCAAATAAAGTGTTACCAAAATCTTTGATTAGATATATTGTGCTGAAGAGGTCATTGAAGATGTGCCTTAAATGTGTATTATACTACTAATTGGCCTATTTAAAAATAGCCGGGCAGGCGCATCAATTTTACATAAACAAAATCTTTTTTTTTTCTTTTAAGTAAAAAATACACCACTGTTCAGTGAAGCTGTGAATTTGCAAAGAACCATCACAGTACACAAGCACCACACAAGCACTGATGTGGCCTCAAGGCCATCAGCTTTATTATAGTCTGCAGTATGCATCAATCCACCATGCTTCTGACCTAAACCAAGCAAACTTACTGCATAATACTGCATAAGCAAAGCTAACCTATGATTTTGGTTTTACAAGCGATTCACTGTCTCTCGTCAGAACACTTCATAAAAATAGAACATCAGAATTTATTTTGGAAAATCATTGGCAAGTGAACCTGTTGAGATCCAACTACCCAGCTTAAGATTTGGTTTGGCGGCATGTCTGCTTTCAACCCATCTTATCCTCCCCACCAGCATAGATCAGGACTAACTGAATTTGTCTCAAAAAGACATCTGATTTGGCCCACCAGAAAGCTGCATTAAACCCCCCACTCTCTCAGCCAAGGAGAGAAAACAGAAGTGTTTATTACAACTTAATACTTTTTAGCTTCTAATTTTTCTTAATCTCTTACATAGCAATGGGCCCAAAGATTTATTACACACCTTTATAACTTAAGAATAGCTCAACCCATTTGCATTGGAGTCCCTGTAGTTAGTGAATAATAAGCCTTGGTAGGAAATTGTAAGTAGGTTAATTTTTGTTTTTTTAGGATAATGTTCTGAAATAAAATGTGAATCAATCTATGATCACAGTTCATCTATGTTGCATATAGTTGTTATTAAATGCAACATAGATAAACAATACATATAGTACTGTTCAAAAGTGTTCAAAAGGGGAGACACCGCTAAAACATTTCACATTTTGGCCAATAAAATGCAGAGCCTATGAGCTGAGTGTTGAGATTTTGGTGTAAGGTTTCCCTTTAAACAAACCTGTTCCATCAGACATGAAACTAATCAGACAAATCAGCTTTTGCCAGAATTCTAACCACTGCAATAGCTAATGTGGCGGAGAGGTAACAGTGGTCGTTCACCTGGCATCATGAATGCTGTTCTACTGGCAGAAATTTGCTAATTTGCAGAAATCTGCAGAAATTTATTAATATCAAGGGGACATATTGCTAGTATGCCCCCCCATGACAAAAGGTTTGGGCAGCTGTCATAGATGCAACTTAAAACCCGTGATACAGTGCATCTCTGTGTATCGTGTGTGTGTGTTTTTGAGGGTCGTGTCCGGACTCGGGCTCAGAAAGCTGCGTTTGATGGAAAGATGAAAGGCACGGAAGGGATTACAGACACCCGACACTGACTCCCACCTCACACTCACGCACCTGGCTCTGTAACACAGGTGTGTAAAGCCTCCATATACAACAACTTCCTAACACACGCATGTACATGCCCTCGTACTAACAAACAATGTCTGCACATGCAAATCAGGAATCTCTGACAGTGAAGGGAGAATCCATTTTTGTAAACCACCCAGAGCCACGATGTTCATCCAGCATGCCATCCAAGAGCGTGAAACCCATGCATGCCACACACACACACACACACACACACAGGTGTCCGGATAACAGAAACAAAAACAAAGAAACAAATATGAGGACAGCTTCTTTCTGCACAGTGTCCTCAATGGAATCTTCCCCTTTCATAAATCAAACTGCTATTTTCTACAGCTAGAACTGAGCTGAGATCAGAACAGGTGTTCTTTCTATTTAAAACTGAGATTAATAAGCACTTTAGAATGTTGAGTCATGTCTTCAAAGTGGGACTTTGATCACAAAGAATACATCCCAGACACCCGTGTCTTTATGTGTGAGGACAAAAATGTTCCGTCATCGTAGGGAAACCCGAGAAAAGCCAGTCTACTGCTTTCCTAAAGTGATGTTTTACAAAACTTCTTGTTTCATTTTTTAAAACTGAAAGAAC